CTGTATGACATGAGAAGAATGGAGATTCAAGGACCACGCTGAAGGGATACTGAGGAAGAAGGGTTTCAGTGTGACTTCTGGGCTTTCAAGTAGGAGTTTTTTGGTTAACTGTCCGAGAATAGACTCTATGGAATAGTAGGAGAAGTCAGAGTGTTGGGTGTTGAGATGTATGTGAGAGGTGAGAACATAGAAGTGTTCATGGGTTATAAAGCTTACTCTTCTAAGAAGGGGAGAAGGAGACTAAAAATTTGAACATGTTTATGTGTTTAGGAAAAGAAATAGGTGGAGAAGAAGAGATTAACAATAAGAATGGGATAGGGAGGTAGAGGTGAGAGATAGGAGAGAAGAGGAGAAGAAAGGGAGATGATAATTGATGGGACTAAGCCTTAGAGGAGGTGATGACCTCTGGGTTCCAGAACGCTGAGGAACAATTGTCCTTGAATGGAGGAGATTTTCTCTCACTTTGTGACAGGAAGATGAGAGTAAGCTCAGTTTGGATAAAGAAAATTTTGTGGGTAATTAAAGGAAAGCAAACCAACAACAACAACAAAAATCCATAAATCTCTTAATTTCAAATATTTCCTACTTCCTAGAGTAAGGCCAACAAAGACTTATTTTCAACAAAACTTACAGCCAAGTTTAATTTTGCCCTTGAAATTTTTTGTAATGATGCCATCTTATTTCTCCTGGCCTGGTCGGGAATTTTGTCCTTTGGTTTATGTTTCCTGGGCTGTATCTCAAAAAAAGATGTTTGTAATTTCTTATCATTTTTTGTCTGTGCCTCAGTCTTTCCACCTGCATGGTTGGAAAGGACAGTCTCCATCCAGCCCTAGAGCTCCCCTAACGAGTTCATATGCTCCTTCCTTGGTTCTCTGTGGTGGTGCCTCTGCCCTGCCAGCACTTGGGGACGGCCTTCCTATAGAATCTCCAGAATGCAAAACCAAGGCTCCCTGTGTCACACTGCTAGGGTCCCAGGGCAAATCGAGTCACGTGACCTAGCCCAGAGTCAGAGTGTGAAGACACCCCAAAATGATGTAATGGAAGGTGAGGTGTATATAACGAAAGGTGAAGACCCTGTGCTACTTTTGTAATTGATCTAGTACACATGGAAAACAATTATGAATTCTGTTTGGAATTTTTTAGTCCAAAGTGTATGTGAGAATCCTGGTGGAGATAACTCACGGGGTTTTGGATATAAGGGAGATAGGGTTGGTTAATGCATACAATTTTGGAAGTGATTTACAAAGAGAAGCAGTGTGCATGGAAAGAAACCAGGCAGAGCGTGTGAAGTGAGAAGAGTAAGATTCACGAAACCAACCTGGAGCAGAAGAAGGAAAAGAGGTTCAGGAAAGAGGCTTAGCAGAGTGATCCGAGAGGTGAGAAGCCAAACAGAACAGTGACCATGTCAAGATGGAGACAGTTTCAAGATGAAGTCAACAGTGTCACATGCTGAACGGAGACTGAGGAAGAATGACTGCAGGGTGGCCACTAAGGCTGCCAAGTAGGAGATTTTTGTTCACTCACCAAGAGTAGATTCAAAGGAATAGTAGGAAAAGCCAGACTATCGGGGGTTTAGAAGAAGGTGAGGGGTGAGAACATGGAGATATTCATGGATTATAATGCTTACTCTTCTGAGAAGGAAAGACAAAAGAACCTGCAGAAATTTGAACATGTTTATATATTTAGAAAAAAGAATAGGTAAAGAGGAAGATATTAACAATAAGACAAAAGAGAGAGAGAGAGAATAATTGATGGGACCAAGCCTTAAAAGAGATGGTCACCTGTGAGGTCCAGAGCTCAGGGGAACACTTACTCTCTGGTGGAGAGATTTCCTCACACTTAGTGACAGGAGAATGAGGATAAGATTAGTTTATATGCGGAAGAGTTGGTGGGTAATTAAAACAAAAACAAAACAAAATCCATAAATCACTTAATTACAAATATTTTCTACTGCATGGAGGAGGTCCACTCAAGACTTTGTTTTGACAAGACTGTATCCTTAGTTTGATTTATATCCTGAATAATTTTGAAAAAGACCATTCTTGTTCTTCCTGGCTTGGTCTGAATTTTTGTCCCTTGATTTATGCTTTCTGGGCTGATCTCAGATAAAAGTTTTGACATTCATTTTTGTCTTTTCTCTGTGCTTCGGTCTTTCCACCTGTGTGATTAGAAGGAATAGGCCCCGTCCCAGATGCTCTGGTAAAAGTTTTCCTAAGATCTCCTTCCTTGGTTCCCTGTGGTGGGGCTGTGTCCCAGCCACCCCTTGGGGGCAGCCTTCCAATAGAACCCCCAAAATGCAGGTTGGATGCCCCCTAGAAACGGGCTGGCTCCTGAGTCTGCACCTGGGACAAGGCGGCCTTCTGGCCTCCACAGTTTCCCTCCCACAGGTGTGGGCTGTGCCCCTCAAGTGCGTATTGATGGGCTGGAGAGGATGGGGTCCCTGTGGCCTGCACGGCCTTTGGGTGGTTTCCGAAGCCCCAGGTTCAGTGGAGAGACTATAGTGGAAAGAAGTTCCTGGCTTCCTCTGAGGCCCACACCCAAGATGCTGATGGGCTGTTTCCATGGAGCCTTCACTGGTGGTGAGAGACAGCTCTGTGAGGAACGTGACCTGCTCCATCCTCAACCGCATCCTGGGCCAGGAGAAGGCAAAGGCCATTTTCATCCCAGGTCAGTGCTGTTCCTGCTCACAGGAAGGTCGGGTGGAGGGGGACCGAGTCCCTGAGTGTGCTGGGCTGGGCTGGCCTGTGTGTGCCCTGATGCGGTCTGTGGTTGGGCCACAGAGCCCTTTTCTCCCCAGGCCTCTCCCTGGAAACCGGCTTTGGCTGTGAGCCTGAGCATGTTGGTGCTCGTCATCCTTGTGGCTGGCTATTTTTTCAAGAAGGAACATTCAGCAAAGATGCAGGTGCTGAAGGCCAGAGGTAAGACAAGGGAGGGGCCAGGCTGGGTGAGGGCAGAGCTTGTGCAGAGAAGGAAATCTGACAGCAGGACCAGAGCCCATGGTTGCAGCCTCCAGGAAGACCCAGGGCCTCTGCCCAGAGCAGGAGACTCAGGAGATCCAGAGAGGGCAACTGGGGCCCTTTAGGCTCTGATGAGTCTGGAAGGAGAACTTTCTTCTGTATACAGAGGGGGTCTTTTCTGTGTGTTCTCCAGGCACACAGTCTTTCCTTTTCTTAGAGAAGGGAGTTCATGCTGTTTTTTTTTTTTTAATCTTTTTCAGATGAACTCCAGGCAGAGCTGGGTAAGTTCTTCCCTCCCTCCCAAACTCTGTGTGTCTCGTTTGGGGAAGATATTATTGTTCTTAGCTCACCTCATTTCCTGTGTGTTGCCTTTCAGACAAGGGAAAATCTTTCCCAAGAGTGGTGAGTAACTCTCCTGAAGTCCCTGGGTCTACTGTTCCACATGTGCCCAGGTGTGCCCTCTCCCTTTGTGTCTCTGGCATGGACATGAGGATCCTGTTCACTGAGGGCAGAAGTGGAAGATAGTGGAGGCAGGAATCTTGCTCCTGGGGCTCCTCCAGATCAGGGCGTCTGCTTCCCACCCGGTGTTGGAAACCTGGAATGTGTCATGCATCCTGGGTGTCATGGATTGAATTGTGTCACCCAAAATATGTGTATCAATTTGGCTAGGCCATGATTCCCAGTATTGTGTGATTGTCCACCATTTTGTCATGTGATGTGATTTTGCTACGTGTTGTAAATCCTGTGTCTATGATGTTGATGAGTTGGGATTAGCAACAGTTATGTCAATGAGGCAGGACTCAATCTACAGGATTGTATTTCGTCTTGAGCCAATCTCTTTTGAGATATAAAAGACAGAAGGAAGTGGAGAGACATGGGGACCTCATAGCACCAAGCAATAAGAGCCAGGAGAATAGCATGCCCTTTGGACCTGGGGTCCGTGTGCCTGAGAAGCTCTTAGACCAGGGGAAGATTGCTGACAAGGACCTTCCCCTAGAGCTGACACAGAGAGAAAGCCTTCCGCTGGAGCTGGCACCCTGAATTTGGACTTCTAGCCTACTAGACTTTGAGAGAGTAAATGTCTCTTTGTTAAAGCCATTCACTTGTGTTACTTCTGTTATAGCAGCACTAGATGACTAAGACACTTGATCTTCTCATTCCAGGCCTGACGTGTGCACCATATTGTAGGTTTTCTAGCCTTCAGTGCATAAATCTTTTGGTGTGCACCTGGAAGCCAAAAGAGATTTCATGAAAGGAGCTGTATAAATAAATGGGGTCATTTAGTTTAAGCCGCAAATACCTTCTTCCTGGGAATGCCAGTCCTCTCCAGCTCCTGCGGGTGTTGATCAAAAAGTGATGGGAACCCTCATCTGTTGCTGGTGGGAATGCAAAATGGTACAGCCACTTTGGAAAACAGTGTGGCAGTTCTTCAAAAAACGAAAAATAGAACTACCATATGACCCAGCAATCTCAGTGCTAGATATATACCCAAAAGATTCAAAAGCAGGAACACAAACAGAAACCTGTACGGCAATGCTCATTGTAGCAGTATTCACAACAGCCAAAATGTGGAAACAATGGAAATGTCCATTAACAGAAAAGTTGATAAACAAAAGGTGGTATATACTTACAATGGAATATTACTTATCCTTAAAGAGAAATGAAGTCTTAATGCATGCCACAACATGGACGAACCCTGAAAACATGCTAATGAAATAAGTCAATCACAAAAAGACAAATACTTGATCTCACTTGTATGAAATAGGCAAATATATGGAAACCAATGATTATTAGTGGTTACCAGGGGTGGGAGGGAGGAGAAAGGAGGAGTTACTGTTCAGAGGGCACTGAGTTTATGTTAATGGTGGTGAAATAATTTAAGAAAAGAGAGTGATAATGGTTGCACAACATGAAGAATGTAGTCAATGTTACTGAAATATACATGTAAAAGTGGTTTAATTGACATATTCTTTTTTATGTATATTTGTTCCAGAATGGAAAAATGTGATGAGGAGATGACTGGGCTGAGTGTGCAGGGAGATGAGATGAAATCAACTGAGGGCTCCCTAGAAGAGAGGTGTTATTATCTCCAGAAATAGTTTATCTGAGAATGAACGGCCACTTTTACCCTGAAGTTGGTGTCATAGCCCTGTTTTTCCTTCATTTCTCCTTTCTGGTTACTGGTTATTTCCTAGCTGTATATTTGGCTAAAGAAAAAAAAAAAAAAAGACTGGATATAATAATGGTTTCTTACAATTAAGGAATAATTTATGATTTTTATTTGTATATATATTTTCAGACATATTTTTTGATTCTTAGTAGCAACACTGAATGCTGGTAGAACAGACCTTCTGGAGGTTGTTGTGACACAGAACAGCTAAGTGATATGCACAGCTCAAGTGTGCACAGTGAC